CACACACACACACACACACACACACACACACACACACACACACACACACACACACACCCTACCTGCTGGGCAGTGAAGGCCTATTGGACTAGAATTGAAAAGGATTAGGGAATCATCAAGGAAAGTCTATTAGAAGCCCCAATTCAAGATGGAGAGCTGGCAATTCTTTGTGCCTGGAACCATGCAGTCCAGCTCCTAGACTTCTGTGGGACTACAATGATTTTTTTATATCAATGCCATAAAAATAAAGAGTGGAAGGAAGTTTGAACTACAGAAAAAGTAACAAATAACAAACTCCAAACCACAAGATCTCTGTTTAAAATTATACTTAATACAGCCTCTATTTTGCAGAAGAGAAAAACAAGCCAAGTGTCTTTCTAGAACATTAATGACTATCAGTCATTACATCACACGTATGTCATCTGACACAAACTTTTAGATCAGTAAATATTTCCCTGTGCTATAACACAGGGTTAGTGTTCAAGCTGAGCACACATAAAAGCCCTAAAACATAAGCCAAACCCAAGGGTAAGTCCAATTTCCCCTACTTCAGTTTACTCTACCAATCTACCATTTCACAAATGCATGTGAACATTTTACAACATGAAAGAGAACTTATTTCGCAAAGCTTTTCTGCAAATGCAGTAATAAGCACAAGCATTGGATAGCAAAAAAACAAAAAGCTCCAAAAAATTTAACTGCAATAGAAGCTAAGAAAACTGCAGAAGTTAACAAATTAACAAAATCCCCTCCTCTGATTCTCCAGTTTCAGATATTCTACCAGACTTTAAGGAACTATCCAGGTGATTTTTTATATTGGTAGATGCATATACAGTGGTATTAGGATATCATGAATGTATACATGTGTCAGGATGACCACCATAGGAAATAACCCAAGCCCAGGGATCTATGTGACTGCAGCTCACTTGCCTAGAAAGCTGCCCTCTAGAGGGTAAGGTAAAAACCTATAAGGAGACAGGATGGTAGATGCCATCTAAAACAAACACGTCTATATGCTAAACAGGAAGCAGGTAGCTAGTGCCCAAGCAGTGTCGCCAGCTGTGAACAACCCCAGCATAGATCACTTTAAACATGCCTGACAGATGAATCAATGTATGATCAACATCTTCAGACTCCACAGACCAACTGACTGTTGATGACAGTGTAGGGGAATGTACATGTAGAGGAATGGAGTACATCTCAGTAGCACTGTGTTGCTTAGAATGCATGAGACCTTAGGTTTAATCCCAGAAGTGCAGAGAAAGGAATCCTAACTACTTAGGAAGTAAGAGATCAAGAGGATCACAGTTCAAGGCCAGTCAGAGCAAAAGTTGGTGAGATCCTCAGGTGAATAAGCCAAGTGTGGCAGCACATGCAGGGGTTCTTCATACACAGAGATATCCCCAGGTACACAGGAGATGTAGATAGGAGGTCTGCTTGCAGTCTGAGGCAAAAGCATGGGACTCTACCTGAACAAAACAAAGCAACTGCAAACTGGGAGAATGGCTCAAGTGGAAGGTGTACTGCCTAGCAAGTGTAAGATCCTGGGCTCAAATTTCAGTACCCCCAAATGGAAGAAAAAGAAAGTCAACCAAAAAGTACAGAAGATACCAATGACTACAGAAAAACGTAAGCTTATTTTTCTAAATAAATGTAATCTAATTCACAGCTGTTCCTAGATAACCCCAGCCATAGCATGTCCAACCTCCATGACATCCCTTCAGTCCTCCAGACCTAAGATCCAATCCTGCTTACTCAGAGAGGAGATTCTGAGAAAGAAAATTTGCTTTGTATGAGGAAGAGCTCAACCATTCTGTAGGCAGCAAATAAAGTTATATTTGCAGAGAAAAGGCTCAATAAATTATTATCCCACTTAGAATATGGTAGGATTCAAACTCAACAACATGGCATCTACAAAGGGGCATTTCAACAAGTGACTGCCTTGCATTCACTATAACACAGAGTCTCATAAAAACCAAAAGGAAAGGTCTGCTCAGCCAAGAACTGGCAGCTATACAACCTTCCTGGCTATGTTGGCTTGCCTGAGTCCTCCAATTATATTGTTTAGGAAGAAAGAAGAGTTTCCACTTCTTACAGCTCATGGGTATTTTAAAATAAATCACCCCAATGACTCATGAGGCTAGGCTCAAAGAATTCTCTGTTGCTTTGTTCTCTGTAGTGGCACTGGGATCAAAGACATCACTTTCAAGAGACTGTCTTCATTAACAACAATAGAGCATTCATTCACAGAACAAACATTTACTAAAATCTTATTAAGTGCCAAGACCATATTAAACTAAGAATACAATGGAGGAAAAGACTAAATAAGTCCAGCCTTTAGAGTTTACACTGTAGCTCTAGAAAAATACTAGTTTCTATTTTTATTGCCACAAAAGTATTGCTTGTGACATAGTGGTGACACAGTGTCATCCATACACAAGATGCTAAATGGGACAGAGAACAAATGTTTCCTGTGCTGCTCAGGTGCTTCTCTGATTGCTCATCATATGATCATCCCAGCACCAAGATCAACAGAGAACAGAGAAAAGCAGAAAGGTCTCCTTGCATAAGAAAACAGGACTCTAAATAGGTGGCAGATCTAATATTAAACTACTGTATCAGAAAAAAAAAACACTTTTTAAAGCTGGTATCAGGGCTGTGATGTAGCTCACATGGCAGAACACTTACTTGCCTAGAGAGCGCGAGGCCCTACTACTGCAATAAAAACAAAATTCTGGTATGGGCCATGCAATTCAGGTAGCCCTTGGAGAGCAGGATGGATTTAGGTAGAGCTTGTTATTTTGGTGCTTGGCTGATCCACCAGGCAGTCATGTTTCCTAGCCTGGTGAAGTGTAATGGTAAGACACACTAAACAAGAGGTATGGTAATGGGATACATGATATGCCCCAACCACAGTAGACTTAGCTCAGAGAGTTTCCTGAGGGTTCAACTCAACATTAAAACTGCTCTTTAGTTTTCTTTTTTCATAGAATGTCAATCGTACAAAATAAGAACATGAAAAGCACAATGTGGCCAAAAGTCTACAGTACAGTTATGCAAAGACTCCATCACAGTGGAATTGGTATCAGGCTTATTCATGGAATTTAAGTTTTAATAATTGCTATTCTGAGCCAGAGATTATGATTCTGAGTGGTTTTTTGAGATGTAATGCCTTAAAAGAGCTAGTTTGCCCAAGCTATGACAACAGTTAGCCTCAAGTAGAAGGAAAGCAAGAAAAAAAATTCTCTTTGAATAGAACTCTCTGAACAAGGCTAAGTAAAAACTTCATCTCAAAATACTAACTAAATAATACTGGAAATACAAACAAGTTGCTTGGAAGATAACTAAAGAATTATGATGATAGGAGTTGTTTAAATAATAAACCTCACCATAGTGCATAGGAAATAAATACCTTATGTTGGTATTCTGGAGTTTGAGTCTAGGGTGAGGAAGAAAATTTTATTCAGGGGTGTAAAACCATCAACACTGTTATACTGACCTGCTTGTAAGTTCCATCTAGTAAGGTGTCCAGGTGTTGGAGGGGAGCAGGTGTTTTATCTTTGAATCTTGTTAAGAGCCGGCGTTGAATGGCCCGGAATTGTACAGCTCTTTCTGATAGGAGTTCCTCTAATTTTTCACCATTTATCCGTAGCTACAATGAAGAATTTCTTACATTAATATGAAATAGGTACAAAAAACATGTTAAAGTAAGCATACAGTCAACAGCAATAAATATTTAGAAAGTGATAATAAACAAATTTAAATATACATACATCGGTGGGAATTAAAACAATGCAGTATTTGGTAAATGAATACATAGTTAATACTGTGGAATAGATCAAATAGAAATGTAGTAAAGGTGACCCAATATCCCTGGAGGAAAGGTTGATTATTTGGTTGATTTTTTTGTAATAACTCACTACATGGAGATAAGAAAGAATTTCTTCCTATTCTTTTTTTTTTGGGGGGGGGGTCCGGTCTTGGGGCCTGGACCCTGGGCCTGGGCGCTGTCCCTCAGCTCTTCAGCTCAAGGCTAGCGCTCTACCACTTGAGCCACAGCACCACTTCCAGCTTTTTTCTTTTTGCTTACGTGGTGCTGAGGAATTGAACCCAGGGCCTCATGCATGCAAGGCAAGGGCTCTACCACTGAGCCACCTTCCCAGCCCCTTTCTTCCTATTCTTTACAGTAAGCTCAACTGTAGACAGAGACACTATAAAAGCACTAGAAAAAATAAAGGCATGCAAAAGGCCTTTAAAAGTCAAAAGCTTCAAACCTACAAAATAGATATTAAATTAAAAAAAGATAATTCTACATGGTAAAAACTTTTATTTAAGCAAGAAGACAAATAGCAAATAGCAATAACTATAGGGTAATCTATCTAAAAAATGACCTAAAATTCTATCTAAAAAGCATGTAAAAAAGTACAACTAAACAGAAATCAGTGAGAAAAAGAGTAATGCAACAGAAAAATAGGCAATTTCCTATAAAACTTGACCCAACAGACTTTTAATACACAGCTTTTGTTCTAATAACATTTCTAGGACTTTATCCTAGAGATAATATTTGCAGAAATGGTATACATATAAGAATATTTGCAATATAATTGTTCTATTGTTCATATTGTCTTAAGATATTACTAATAATCAAAATGCCTATCAATAGAAACATTAGTTAAATAAGAAGACTATATTCTGCAAGGTAAGTGCTGACATGAGATGCTACCCAAAATGTGTTCATGAAAGCAAACAAAAGACTCAGAATAGCCCGCATCATGTGATACTACCCGTGAGCATGTTTTCTCAACAAAGCTACATACTAGCATAATCATAACTATGTAGAATATTTCTACAAAGATGCACAAGGAATTAGTCTCCAAAAGCTACCACAAAAGAGGAAAGAGAATGAGAAATTATTCATCATCGTTGCCCATCTCACATTTATTAAATTCAATAGAAACAAAGGAAAGGCAGTCAGTCACAAGGAAGAAGGCAGACACAAGATTGGAGGCACTCTCATGCGAACAGCTAGTTCAGCTTTATGAAACTATAATAAAGCTACCTCTGAAGGAAATTCAAATGTTCAGAAATCAACCATATTATAGTTTACATTTCTGATATGAGTCAAACCAAACTTCTTTGCAGTGCATTAATTCCCTCAATACATAAGTATTTCATGATATAAAACTTAAAATTTTATTAACTTCTTTCAATCCTGATTTTAGAAGTACTAAGTAGCTACCTAAGCCAAAAAAGGGAAAATTCCCTTGAGAAAAACTTTCACTACCATAAATTAACAAAATGGTCTTTAATAACTAAAAAAATATAAAGGCTTACTTATCAATAACTCAATTAATTTTATGTAATTTATTTTTATTGTTTTTTATTCCTGAATTCATGAAGCATACAAACAAGAAGACACTCTCAATACCCAGATATCAATCATGGTCTCCTTCCTTTGAAGGTACAGCCTCCCTGCCATGACTGAAATGACAAAAATGTATGATCCTAGGGCCAAGAACTGTGTCAGGCACTAACAATTACAACAGTCAATAAAACAAACAAAATCCATGCCTTTTGTCCATGATGGAATGCTTGGGCTCCAAACGTTATCTTGACTCAAAGTTGAAAATCATATTAATGGCTGGAAGCAGAGGTGTGGACAAAGAACAAAGGAAGAATGGACGTGTGTGTGTGTGTGTGTGTGTGTGTGTGTGTGTGAGAGAGAGAGAGAGAGAGAGAGAGAGAGAGAGACAGACAGACAGACAGACAGACAGACAGACAGACAGACAGACAGACAGACAGACAGAGATACAAAATGCCCAAGATTTACCCTATGCCACAAGTACCTCCTTAGAAAGGAGGTATTCCTGATGTGGAAACTCTAGGACCCTCCTAGCAAACAGACAGGAGGGAAATCATATGTCCAACTTACCAGTAGAGCATATAATGTTTTATGTTTTAAATACTAGAACTAAGTAATAAGAGTTCAGTCTTTCTGTGGAATCACAAAGCTCATAAAGTACCAGACCCCAGTTTGGCCCAATGAAGCAAGAATTTTATATAATACATCCTAGAGGGATGGGAAGGCTTATGAACCTTTCTATACTCAGTCCAACAACTCCCCTAAACTGTCTATCTGTGTGCCACCATTTACCAATGCATAATAAATTAGAAAATACTGTCATAAAGTAAATTCAGTTTCTTTCATAATGACATGGTTATTCATAATTGGACTTTCATGAAATTTTCTATTCATGTTCCCTCATTATCTCTCTATATACATATACACTCACACCATAGATTGTATCTTAATATGACCACTTATTTAGTAGTATGTTTATTTTATTTTTAAATTGATTCAGAATTTCTCTTGTGTATTGCCTGTTATAGACATTGAAAATAAGTAGAGCCTGATGACTTAATTTTAACATATAAACTTTTGAAGCAATGACTGTCATTGTCTAATCCAGTCACAAAACATGCCTATTTCCAAATATCAAATTAATCTTCAAATGATGAAGGTAACGCCATGGAGATAATTAAGAGGACTAGCACAGGTTCTGAGGGTGCTGCCAAAGAAGAAATGTAACACCATTCAGAGGAGCAAAGTCCTATCAGACTTCATTAACTAAGCACTCTCCACAGGGGTACATGTTGTACACTGGTATGGGAGAGCATTCTAAGTGTTTAAGCCTCATTTAGATGCAGAAGCTCTGGAGTGCTTGCCAAAAAGAAAAAAACTAACTTTCCTTTCTAATGACACCTCATTTATGGCCTGCTACAATTAGTTAGCCAAATGCCTGCCGATAAGCTCAAATAGTTTTAACACTGGGTTATTTGGGTCAAGGGTTAAGTCCTCATTGCAAGAACTAAATCAGCTCTGTTTCAAGGCAAGACATATGCTTAGCTCCAGGCAGCCACTCCATAAATGGCTGCAGCTGATCAAACCTCAGGCAAGTGGGCAGGAATAAATTCTACCATCCACATAAGAAGGATGCAAAGCATGTGGCCTGCTGCACCTATCCTGGAATTCACCGTTCTCAGGATCTAGTTCTCTTTTGTATACTGAAGGAATACAGGAGACTAGGTTACAATCATACACACCTCAAAATGATGATCAATCAACTCAAAATATTCTTGAAGGGGCAAGGATCCAGAAAAAGAACACGCGAAATCTTTGGTTCCCTGTTTTTCAAAATGTTCCTTAAGGCGGAGGATGAGCTCACTTGTTATGAGCCAGAGATCTTCAAACTCTTCACTCTGAATGCGATAACGTTCTAAGAGAGAAAAATAATTAAGAAAAATTCTTATTAACATACAATTACTAGCTGGTACTAGGTGAACTATCCCTAACCTTAACTGACAATACCAAATGACAAAGATGTCCTTTACATGATTTCTATGGCTTTATGAAAAATTATTTCTGCTGCTATAGAGAGAGTGGTCTACTCTGACTGAACAATAAAATATAAAGCACTATGAGATACTGCAGTAAAGTCATTTTGGGGAAGGATCATTGTAACCAATATGCACTATGAAAAAATGAACTATGTAACTTATGGGTAGGGACAGTAGGGAGAAAATGGGGAAGAAGGAAGGAAGAAGTGACATTGTCAAGAAGCACTGTACTTATAACCTGACTAACGAAATTTAAAAAGAAGTGGGTAGAGGGAAGGAGAGTGATAAATGGAGTGAATATGATAGGGTACATTGTATATGTATATAAAAATGTCACAAGAAAGCCCTCTTGTATATTTAACATATACTAATAAAAATCTTTTTTAGAATACTTATTACATTCAAAAATAGCCAAAAAATGCCTAGACATAGACTTAATTAAGATGTAAAAACCTCTACAATGAAATCTATGAAACTTTAAGAAATTGAAGAAACCAAACTCAGCATTGTTTCTGTTCATGTGTAGAATCTAGACTTTAAAGACATACACATAGACAAACTAATAAAAAATATCATTTTTCAAAAAATATAAAAATACTTCTGGACTTTGTTGTTGGTTTTCTATAGGAGTCACAAAACTGTACTTGCTTTTCAGGTATTATAATCTTGGTTCTAGATTTATAAGGGGTAATCTTAAATCTTATGTTAAAAATAGCCAAGGAGGCTAATAAAACTGTTCTCTCTAAAAAAAAAAAAAAGGAGTCACAAAATTTTCAAATCTAATCCCAAAGAGATTCTAATTCATAGGAGCAAGCTAAGAATGTTCCTTTCTTACCATGTGTCTAATTAAGACAACAAGAAAATAACCCAAACTTTGGTCCTTAAAAATTCTTTAAGTCATTCCACCTCACTCTAGTTAGAATGGCTATAATGAAGAAATCTAACAGATGCTGAAGGGGATGTGGCCAAAGGGGAACCTTACCGCTCTGGAAAGCAGTACGAGGTTTCTCAAAAAACTACATATAGAGCTCCCATATGACCCAGCAATCCCACTTCTGGGTATTTACTCCAGTGAATATAAACAAGGCCATGCTAAAGCTACCAGCACAACTATGTTTACTGCAGCATTATTCACTATAGCTAAGATATGGAACCAACCCAGATGCCCCTCAGTAGATGAATGGATCAAGAAAATGTGATACACACACACACACACACACATGCATGCACGCACGCACGCACGCACACACACACACACACACACACACACACACAATGGAATTCTATGCTTCCATCAGAAAAAATGACATTGCCCCATTTGTTAGGAAATGGAAAGACTTGGAAAAATTATATTAAGTGAAGTAAGCCAGACCTAAAGAAATGTAAGTCCCATGGTTTCACTTATTTGCAATAATTACTATATATCTAGGATAATCTTATCAGATGAGCAAAAAAGCCCAAAAGCTATGTACATATGACCATATAAGATGATGCTAAGAGAAATGAACCCCAAGATATGGACTCAAGAGGTTTTTCTTTGTTGCTGTCGTTTTTAATGTACTATGAGATTTTTTTGTTTCTTTTGTATGTTCTCCCCCCTATGTAATATCCTCTATTGTCACTGTATTTGATTGCATATACATTTGTATATTTGTATTTGATTGTATATACATTTATCTAATTTGGGGAGGGGAAGGGAAAAACAAAATGCTGAAACAAGAACACAGAATGACCCATTGCAACAATGATACTCCCAAGACATTATGTCAGAAATGAACTTTACAACTTCAAGTGGGAGGAGGGAGGAGTGGGGGTGGGGGAGAGATAGTAGGAGAAAAACAAAGGAGGGGATAACAATGCTCGACATAAAATGTACTCATTACCTGACTCATGTAACTGTAACCCCTCTTACAGCACCTTTACTGTAAAATAAAATTTTTTAAAAAGGAAAAAAAAAAGAATAGATGTTTAAAACTCAAAAAAGAAAAAGTCAGTGGGTTATACTGGTAATCCTAGCTACATAGGAGACTGAGATCTGAGGGCTGTGATTTGAAGCCTGCTAAGGCAGGAAAGTCCTTGAGACTCTTATCTTCAATTACTACCAAAAAAGCCATAAGTAGAGCTGTGGCTCACTGGTAGAGCACTAGCCTTGAGCAAAAAACTCAGGACATCACCTAGGCCCTAAGTTCAAGTCCCAGGACTGGAATACAGACACACAGATATACAGACACACAGACACACACAGACACACAGACACAGACACACACACACACACACACACACACACACGTTTAAAAGATTAAAAAAAGAAATATTAGAAAAATACAGCCTAATAATACTAGTTTGATTCAGAATATTGATGTTGAATAATATTTGTTCTATAGGGAGCCTCATAGTCCGGATTCTATAGCCATATAAATCCCTATAATCATGATCAAAGTACTACACTTTTTAAATAGTTCTTTAATCTGAAAGGAGACTTTACAGTCAGATCCTTCTCCAAAAGTAAATTTTCCTTTCCTCTATTTCCTACAACCTCAGCTCCTTGAGAACAAGACCCCAGTGTGTTCTCTTCAATGATGATGACAACTACCACCACCACAATACCAACACTGATGAGGTTGATAAAGGAGTTAGGGACCAGAGAGTAAGAACAGCTATTACTTGTTGGGTGCTGACATGTACTGAGCACTGAGATTATGGCATTCATTTTTATAAAGGAAGCCAAAGCACAGGTGATTACACAAAGCAAATTATATGCTGGAGCTAGAACTCATCATAGACATCCTGCCCCACCCCTGTAAATCCAACCTGTGCCTGAGGCATAAATCATTCTTACCTACCCACAAGCACCCCTGATTTCTCTAATACCCACAGAAGCCTAGTATGCACTAAGCTCCATTTTAAGCTTTCTTCTGTTTAATTTCTAACAGTCGTATAGGGGAAATAATGTTATTCATTACCCAGGAAAAATCAGTCCAATCACAGGCAAGTGTAAGCAAATTTCAGTTACCTCGCTAGTTAGTAACTAAGTAAGACTGGAATTCTAATTACTTGTAAAAAGCTTACTATAAATCTTAACCAACTCCCAGTACTGCATCTCTCTGTGCAGATATGGTGATGCAGTGTGACTATCACTCACTAGTCACTTAACCACACACATGATCTTATTTACTTTTTCAAATGACTGTATTTTTTGCCTCAAAGACAACATACTTTTTGATATCTTAGAATAAATCCTTTCTTTCATTTAATTCACAACTTACTGAGCACTTATATCAAGCATGATATCATGAAGAAATAAACATTGAGGATATAAGAACAAAGTCAATGTTCTTGTTTACAAAGCCTAGAAACTAACTGCAGCAACATCATACATGAACAAGTATTTCTTTATATTACTCCTGGTACCCTTGTCAATTCTATTAAGTATTTTACATGTTCCATATTAGGATATTAGGATTTTAATTTACCGTCAGATTCAAGAAGGTATCTCCTCTCCTGCCTTGACGTTCTCTTTTTCAACTCCAGTCAGTATAAAACAGACTGGTTATGCCTGTCACAGAGCAGCACCCACCCTGGGCCTTATCAGCTGCCAACACATCATTCATTCCCCCGGAGCTTCCATGCTCTCTCCCCCCAACCTTAATATATTTGACAGATTCTTCCCATGATAATAATCTTATTTTCCCTCTTTTCTCTATTGAAAATATCAGGTCCAAGGTCACAGATAACAGGTTTAACTTTTTTTTGTAAGCATCACTAATGCTTCAGACATAGTATAAGTGCTGGAGGAAGGGATAGAGGGATAGAAAGACTGGTGGTGATGAGATACAGTATAAGAATCACCTATATCGAGTCTTATTGGAGCTAATCTTGAAGTCTAACATATTGAACACAGGCTGTCACTTATTCACTCTTTCTTTCATTTACATAATTCAGTGTAAGATGCTGGGAATAAAATCCAAACTAGAGCAAGAGCGTCCACCTCCAAAAGCTCATAGAAGGTTTGGAAAGGTGACATGATGATGCATAGAATAAATGCTGTTTCAGCTACACCCATCAGGAAAACTCTGCCACGGAGGTGCCAGGATTTACCTAGAGGAGGGATGACTATTTTCAAGCAATGACAGGCCCATTATAGAGAAAAAATAGGTAACAGCAAGGCAGAATTTACAATAAAAAGTGTGTAAACTCATCCCCAAACCAGAAAGGATTCAACAAATAAAAAGAACTGCAGGCCAATTTCTCTGATGAACACAGATTCAATGTTCTTCAATAAAATACGAGCCAACAGACTCCAGAAACAAATTTTTAAAAATCAAATATTATGACCAAGTAGGCTTCATCCCATGGATGCGAAGCTGGTTTAACATACGCAAATTAAGAAATGCAACAAAAGATCATCTCAATAAATGCAGAGAAATATTTTGAAAAAATACAACATCCATTCATGTTAAAAACTTGGGAGAAGCTAGGAATATAAGAGCATTCCTTAAAATAATAAAGGCTATGTATGACAGACCAACAGCTAACATCATACTGCATAAGGGAAAAACTGAAACCATTTCCTCTAAACTCAGGAACAAGGCAAGGATATTTACTCTCTCTCCTCTTCAATATAAGTTCTGGAATTTAGCCAGAAATATAGCCAGAAAAGGACATTAAAGAGATTCGCATATGGAAAGAAGAAATCAAACTATCCCTATTTGCAAATGAGATGATCTTATACCTAAATGATTTTATAGATATAGATATCCATCCCTAAGCTCCTAGAGCTGGTAAACCACTTTGGCAAAGTAGCATGACACAAAATTAACCTACAAAAATCAGCAGCCTTTCTGTATGTTAACAACGTACAATATAAGCAAAAAGGGAA